GATTTAGCTCAGCGGCAAAGCGCTTGCCTGGCAAGCGCAAGGTCGTGAGTTCGGTTCCCGGTACCGGAGAAAAACCAAAAAAAAAAAAAAAAAAATTAAAACATCTAAAAGCACAGTTTTAACCAAGATGTTTAAACATTAATGCTTCGTGAGGTTTAAGGGTCTCTTTAAACTAAGCAGGTTTATATAACTTCACTTCATTTTAGCCATATTTTGGTAAGCTGGGTTTTGAAAAGGAGAATTTTCTCAAATAAGCAATGGATGATAAAAGACTCTTGCTTGAGGCACCTGTTGGGAATCTAGTTTTCTCAGTCAGTAGCAGCCTGACAAGTGTGCCACTTTATATTATGTACTGCAACGGCAAGGCAGGGGCAAATGAAAGCCACGCTGAACTTAACAAGAATAAAATCAGTTTGTTCCTGTGGATTCTTGCTGTGATTAATACAGACTTTCTGCAGAGTCAGCTAAATCTAATCCTGCCGCTAACGCACACTTACCCACCCTTCAGCGGGCACTGAGTATTTCACTGTAGTGTGGGCAGCAGGCCGAAGACTTCATGGTTAATGGAGGCAGGGTTCTCAGAGGCTGTCGTGACTGTTGGGCCCGTGACTTATTAGTACTCTCGCCTTCCTGATGGCACCTTTCACCCAGAAATTCACACTTAGAAGTCAAAGCTTTAAAACCAGAGCCAGGCAGTTCTAATTAATCATGCAACGAAAACTGTGTTCCTTCAGGTAGAACCGCTGACGAGATACCGCAGAGCTTGAGAGCTCGACTTGTGACCTTAAGCGCGGGGTAGTTTGATGGTGTCAGTTGTTAAGGCATAATTATTAAATATTAAATTAAACATGTAATGTAACTGGCCAGACAACATGAAATGGTTTTTTCAGAGCTTATCTGGAGGCTGTGGGCTAAACATTTCGCACGGTTTTTATACCTGTGTTCATATTCTCTTATCACCTCAGACAGACACAGAGCCTTTTAAGTGGAGATTTTACAAGTTACTGCCAATTGTGTAAAATAATGTCCTGTGACCAGGTTACTCAAATGGAAAATAAAGTGCTTTCTTTACGGAAGATGGTCGGTGTTTGTTGGTCTGCCTTTGTATTTTACTTTAAGAAAACCCTGCACTATCCCCGTCCTGCCTCGTTGACTGTCTTTTTGTCCTCATCCTGTGGGCCTGGCGCTGCCCCTCAAATGTGGTTTTCCTGGTGGTTATTTCTTCCAGCTTTGTGGGGCAGGAGACTGCTTATTTGGGCATTGTGTTAGCAGTAACATCTCAAAGCACATCTTCATGATTGTTCAGCAAGAGAGAGCATCAGAATTATTTCCCTTGTTATTTTTTTAGAAGGTTCTAGAAGTAGGTAAAGAGTCTAGCTGGCCCAATCAGAATGGACTGCCAAAGACACTGGAGGTGAGGCAAAAACAAAGCTTAAGAAAGAAAACTTAAGTTTTGTAGGGTTTGTTTATTTTTTAATTTATTAATTATTTTTGGTACTGGAAGTCAGACTCACCACCTCCTGCTTGTTAGGCAGGCGCTGTGCTGCTGAGCTACATCCCCGGCCCTGTAGGGTTTATTTAAGCCCATGACATGTTTACTTGAGGAATTAACTCCTCCTTTCCAAAGGACTGGCGTTAATATGGGTACCTGGTTTTTAGGTGCTAACATCAGCCAATGTTCTGTAAGTGTGCTGTATGTAGTTAAGTGTAAACCGTGGTTTAGATGGAAAGGGATTCAGTATGAACCACGTTTACTGCCATTTTCTTTAGTGACCATTCGTCCTAAAGACACTTGACTTCTGAGGTGACAGCTACACAGTCAAGGGAAAAGATGTGTTAGGGGAAGACTATTGGAGAAGTAAAATTCAATTTGGGTGGTTTATATTTCATCGCATATCTTCTGTGAAAAAAAGCCAGAAGTCATTCTGTTGGTCGTGGAAAAGGAGGCCCTTCTAGGAAGTAAGAGGCAGAAACGGCATCTTTATTTAAAAAACTGCACATTTTAATTTTACCAATTCAACGAATAATAGTTACTTCCAGGTTGCTAGGGACTCTCTCTTTACATTTCTGGACTTGAGTACGTTCCAGTAAACATGCTTTTTATAATGAAAAAAATTTTTTGCTAGGAGATCATTTTCTTAAGACAGTTGACAGAAGAGAGCACTCTATCAGTCTTTACAGTACCTTAAATATTAAAACCTTTTGAGTTCAAGGTAAGTACCTCAATATCTAGATCAAATTCAGGAAGACAAATCAGGTGGATTATTTACAAGTTTTAGCTTACCAGGTATTTTAATGACATGTGGATTGTCCTTGATAGAGTTATTAGCTTTTGGGATTTCCTAAACATGCAGTATCTTTGGTGCCTCAGTTTGAAGTCAGGATAAGCTACCGTCCTGTGCAGCGGCTGTATGAGTAGCTTCTGATACATGGTTTGCCATTAGGAGTGGCCTGAAGGGACCGGCTCTGGTAGGGTGCTTGATGCTGAGGTGCTAGCACACTGGCCCTCTTGTGAGTACCCGTCCTGTACCTCTTTTTCTAAGTACTCACTACTTCTTGTTTATACTATTTTAAGTCTTAACAGCTCACATGAAGCCATAGGCGCACATACTTCCCTTCACAAACTCAGGCAGGCAATCACTTGTCCTTTTTTGAAGTTTACTATGCTAAAAATACACAGATACATTTGAGCAACGGTGCTCTACACTGTTCCTTTGGGGGATCCACTGTGATAAGTGAGTGTTACAGTGAATGGCCAGCAACCCAAGTGAAATCCAAGAAGTGCGAATTCCCAAAGCAATTCCTGTGGCCCGAGAAGTATCTCAGAAAACAAACCACCTACAAGTGTATCTACAAGTGGGAAGATACAACATATACACACCCCAGCCCACCGAGATCCCCACCCTAAACAATGCAGTGTGTTTACTGGTTATCAAACGTCTTGCTGAAGGCCAAGTATCTGATGGAGGTGCGAGCAGTAGTCACAGTGGTGCCAGCATCTGGAAGTCCGGAAGAATTTCCGCGACCCTTCTGCGGAGCTGCTCTCGCCTTTCTTCTTTTACCCTTTCCTCTCTGGTCAATTTTACGAACTTCCTCCATGCCTGAAATGTGATGCTGAGAATCTTCCTTTAAGAATGAAGAGGAGAGGGGAAAAAGGTGAAATACTAAGTCGACTTTCCAGCTTAAGTAATTAAAAATTTTACTGAAATAATTCTGTGAATAAAACATAAAGGGTGTGGAAAACAACTGAGTTTCGGAGAGTGGGAAATGCTCTGAAGAAAATAAAGCGGATGACAGTGACATTTTCCATGAGTGGTCAGGGAAAGCCTCAGGAGACCGAATTTGGGCAGGGCCTTTAGTGCCCTTGATACTGCAGTTACGAGATGCTCCCTGATTGACCTCATCACAGCCCGTACGCTGTGCCCAAGCCAGGGCCAGTGACACTGGCAAAGGTGTGGGCAACCACAGCCCTCCGGGCAAAAGAACAGAAAATGGCATGGAACTGCTGGCATGAGGGACATGTACGTGAAAAGCCTGTTGGTCACCTCACCGACAGCAACGAGCCTGAAATTTCAGTTGCGGAAAAGTACTCTACCACAGCACTGTGACGGCACGGTGCTGGAGGGCTGCGCTTTGGAGCTGAGCTTCTGCAGTCACGGAAGCACAGGGCCCGGGGAGGATTCATCAGGGCCTGGGCCAGTGGAACGCTAGGGATGTCAAGGGCAGCTGACGGACCTGCCCAGGGTGGAGTCAAGCCAATCTCAATACAGTGGGAAGGGACAGTGGCAGGAGAAGCACCCAGTCTGGGATGAGCGGCTCTAGGCTTCTTTTTTTTTTTTTATTTTTTTTTATTTTTTTTTTATTTTAAAGATAAAAGGAGGGAAACATTAACAGACATACAACATTTTACAACATATCACAATACAGACATTACAGAGTTACAAAGTGGCAGGGAATTAACAATGATGGTTGTATTACATATTTATACCTTCAAAGTGGCTTCTCATGAAAACAGATATAGACATGCAATACTGGTCAACCAAAGACTCATTGACAGTTTCTTTCAGCATAGAAA